GTTTATGTCCCTTGCAAGGAGGGGCAGCGGCCAACTGCTAAAACCGCTGAAAAATCTTAACGTTTCCCAACCGCTCTCGGTCGTGCTCTCAGTTGTGCCTTCAGACGTGCCGCGCCGGGACGGGAAAAGTCGTTTTCCTTCCACGCGCGATACTTGCTTAGCGTCTCTGTGACGCAGGCGCCGCACGTGACCCCAGAGGCGGCGGCTCCGGCGCGGGTTTTGGCGCGTGCCGGCCGGAGTCTCGCGGGTGCCGTCGCCGGAGAGGAGCGAGGTGCGCGAGTCCGGGCCTTGGTCCGATTCTTCGGCGGTTTAACGCTCATAAAGCGTGGTTACTCCTGTTAAAATGTCTTTTTACTTCGTTTCCCCGGTAGGTGCAGATTTGCGTTGTGCAGACGGTGAGACGTAATGAGGGCGGCGGCACCGGCAGTAACGATGCGGTAAGTGTCGGCGTACAGGAAAGTACTCTTAATTACGGCGATATAATACTTTTTTCTTTCGTTTCCTTGGGTTAATATGGCGTATTGGATGTGCATATATGCGTGTTATTTACCAAGCTCGCGTTGTTTATAGCGTGTTTGAATCGTGTTTCGTTGACTGTAGACTGTAGATAATATTTTAACAGACGCAAAATGCTGGGTTTTGGTTAAGCTGTCTCCCGTTCTCTGCGTGCAGCCCCCTGAGGTGGAGAGTGCCCAGTGTGGTTCATCGACATACACACGTTAAAATGGAAGAAAGGCGCTTTTTCAGAAGGAGGGCCTAAAGATGGCCTATGTTTTAGTTGGAAAAACGCAACTCACTGAAGAGGAAGGGGTAACGGCAGTTTTAAAGGCGGATTCGATGCGTTTGACACCCTCATGGGTTTATTGATGATGGAGGTGGACCGGAAACGGGCGGTCCAGTTCGTGCGGGGCCGTTTCTGCGTGTGGCGCCGGAGGTGAGAATCGACACGGCCCCTCATCCTCGGACCGATCACTAATTGCCCTTCAAAACAACCGAGCACGAGGAGGAAATCACCCCCCCCCCCCCAAAACGAGATCTTTCGGAATCCTGATGTTACTCGAGATCAAAAAAATAAAAGGCCTCGTTCCGTGTGAATGAGGCGCTGCTGGCTGCCCCCGGGGGTTAGCGAGGTGGCGCTCTGGTTAGCCCTGCAGGAGCCCCAGGGTTCATTTCCTGGGGTGCTGTCTGTGTGGAGCTTGTCCGTTCTCCCCAGGTTTCCTCCAGGCGCTCTGGTTTCGCCCCCCAGCCCAAGGACATGCTGGGAGGTGAATTGGCTTCTGGGAAAACTGGCTCTGGGGGGTGTGTGTGTGTGTGTGTGTGTGTGCGCCCTGTGATGGGCAGGTGTTCCGTTGCTTGCTGTGGTCGACTCCCATCTCCCCCGTGACCCCATATTGGATAAAATGGTTACACAATGATTGTTCCCACATATTGCTGCCTCACTGCAGCCTCACACACACATGCAGACCTCTGGGCGAGCTTTTCCCACAAAGCATCCCCCTCCCAGCTCCTGTCTGAAGCTCCGGGGAGCTGCTGCACAGCCGGCCTGAGGCAGCAGCATGAGGAAGGGACACACGCTGCTGGGTGATCTTTTATTTGTGGGAGGAGAGGATTTCTGAATGGCGCCTCACGGAAGATACAGAACTGGACTGGTGCGTTGTGTTTCTATAATGTACATCACAGCTCTTACTCGGAATA